TCAGTATGTCCTGCCACTCCCTTCTGGCTTGTAGAGTTTCTGCTGAGAGATCAGCTGTTAACCTTATGGGGATTCCCTTGTGTGTTATTTGTTGTTTTTCCCTTGCTGCTTTTAATATGCTTTCTTTGTATTTAGTTTTTGACAGTTTGATTAATATGTGTCTTGGCGTATTTCTCCTTGAATTTATCCTGTATGGGACTCTCTGTGCTTCCTGGACTTGATTAACGATTTCCTTTCCCATATTAGGGAAGTTTTCAACTATAATCTCTTCAAATATTTTCTCAGTCCCTTTCTTTTTCTCTTCTTCTTCTGGAACCCCTATAATTCGAATGTTGGTGCGTTTAATGTTGTCCCAGAGGTCTCTGAGACTGTCCTCAGTTCTTTTCATTCTTTTTTCTTTATTCTGCTCTGCAGTAGTTATTTCCACTATTTTATCTTCCAGGTCACTTATCCGTTCTTCTGCCTCATTTATTCTGCTATTGATCCCATCTAGAGTATTTTTCATTTCATTTATTGTGTTGTTCATCATTGTCTGTTTCATCTTTATTTCTTCTAGGTCCTTGTTAACTGCTTCTTGCATTTTGTCCATTCTATTTCCAAGATTTTGGATCATCTTTACTATCATTATTCTGAACTCTTTTTCAGGTAGACTGCCTATTTCCTCTTCATTTGTTAGGTCTGGTGGGTTTTTATCTTGCTCCTTCATCTGCTGTGTGTTTTTCTGTCTTCTCATTTTGCTTATCTTACTGTGATTGGGTTCACCTTTTTGCAGGCTGCAAGTTCGTAGCTCCCGTTGTTTTTGATGTCTGTCTCCAGTGGCTAAGGTTGGTTCAGTGGGTTGTGTAGGCTTCCTGGTGGAGGGGACTAGTGCCTGTGTTGTGCTGTATGAGGCTAGATCTTGTCTCTCTAGTGGGCAGGTCCACGTCTGGTGGTGTGTTTTGGGGTGCCTGTGGACTTATTATGATTTTAGGCAGCCTCTCTGCTAGTGGGTGGGGTTGTGTTCCTGTCTTGCTATATGGTTGGCAATGGTTGTCCAGCAGTGTAGCTTGCTGGTCGTTGAGTGAAGCTGGGTGCTGGTGTTGAGATGGAGATCTCTGGGAGAATTTCGCCATTTGATATTATGTGGGGCTGGGAGGTCTCTTGTTGACCAGTGTCCTGAAGTTGGCTCTCCCACCTCAGAGGCAGAGTCCTGACTCCCGGCTGGAGCAGCAAGAGACTTTCATCCACTCGGCTTTTACTGATTCATCAGTAGACTCAACAAGATAGGGAGAAAAATCAATGAACTTGAAGAAAATTCCTATTGGAGGCCTGAGCAGTGGAAACTGCGGACCCGTCTTCAGGGCCGGCTGAGGGCTCCAGTCTCAGAAGGGAACCGCTGAAAAGGCACAGACGGTGCCTGCAGCCTTCAGACCAGTCCCAACCTCAGGTTAGGTAGCGGTAAACTCAGGAGCTGTAGCAGGACCTTCGTGACGGCAGCCAGCACTTCCTTTACGACCTCCGCAGCGTCTTCACAGGAGGAGCGCTGAGGCGTGACCTCCAGCCCCAATTATTAATTTATCTATTCCTCTTCCTTTGTAAAAAATATCTTCAGCCTAGATAACCACAAGCTTGCTGATTACAGTGAGCAAATTTTACTTAACTCTAAACCTGCACATTAAAGACAAACAAACAAACAACCTTTACAAATGGTCAAAGAGTAACCTACTAGGGATCACAATTCCTGACTGGTTTTGATTTCAGATTACTGTGCATCCAGCTGACCAACTCAGGAAACAAGTATCTGCAGTCAACCTGTTTTAACCCCTCTGTCCTGTCTGAGGTCATATTCAGAGTCCCTAAGGGCCCTTTAACCAAAGGCTGGAGACCTTAACCTCCTCAGCATCCCACAAGGGCAGCAAGGTAAAGCTGACCTGTAGAGGGCACTTTACCAAAATGGTCTTGGAACTGTCTATCAACTCGTATCTGCATTTTTCAACTTAATGGGAAGAAAGCCAAATACCTCCCCATGTCAACCACTTTGATATGCTTATAATTCAAAATCCGACGTTCTTATGGAAGTATTAGATAAGGCTGGAAGCTGACGCCTAAGCAAAAGCTACTAGAAGTGTTCAAATTGCAAACATTCACATTATAGTCAACCTCTGGGAAATAATGCAGAATCCACCTTTTAGCGTATCTCCTAGGCTTATTGAATAAAACATGGCTCCTCTAAATGATTCTCTAGTCTAATGCTACGAAATATGTCTAACACCAGATGGAAGTAACTATACCTCCTGTACTGAATGAAGAGTTATCCTCCAGGATGGAAATTCTTGATATATATGAGGAGTTTGGCAGTTGCTCTAATTCTTCTAAGATCCCATAAATTCTGTTTAAGTGTGTCGGCTCATTTAAAAAGACTTGTTGAACAGTTAAAATGCATCAGCATACTTTCAAATAATAGTGATAGCCTAAAAAGCACTGTTTTTAGTACTTTTCAAATAATACTGAAAATTTTATTATAGTCCCTACTTTGAGTTTCACCTCTTAATCCCCAATCCTCAATGGAACTAGACTTAATAGAAACCCAAAGGAAAGAGATTTTAAGTGATAAATAAATAAAGATACACACTATCACCTACAACAGTAGAAAAGCAGAATAATTGACCTGTGTTACTAAAAATACTCAGCTGGCTTTTCATAAATTGATCTGTCCTCTAAAATATTAAACCAATTTGCATTATTTATAACAACTAATGACGGTGTTAGGGAAAGTGCATGATGCAGTGGCCAAGGCTGAGGCTCTGGAATCAGACAAATCCAGGTTAAGTTCCAGTTCTCTCATTTACTGACTGCTAGATTTTGTGCAGTTTGCTTTGCTTTCCTAGCTAACCCTGCTTCCCCATCTGAAATCCCATTCTACATGAGGTTACCAACATCCACTTCAAAGAGCTTCTGTAAAGATGAATTGAAATACTATACACGAAATGTTGGACAGACACTAGTTATTTAATAAATGGTAGCTCTTGTTATAAAAAAGAAACCACCGAGGGATTTTTTTTAATCAGTTGCTTGTCATCTGCATGTTATACCATAATCCTACTCAATTTCGCCTTCTTTATGCTAAGAGCTAAATAAAATTCTCAGTACATGCTGCAGGAGGAGTTGTTCTTGCCGGCTCCAGGTGCCTATACTGGAGTACATCCTCTATTAAAGCATCAAAGATTTGTACTGGCATTACTAGTGGACACGTTAGTCTCCTGCACTGGACTGGGAGCTCACTGAGAGGAAGGAGTGCTTTATTCCTCTTTCTACCCCACACACCCAGCACAGGACCTGGCCAGTAAAGGACGTTCCATAAATGTTTGGTGAAGGAAAACACTGCAAAAGTACAAACGGAAAAATGAGTGTGCGAAAAAGTACATACTCTGATGAGCAATCTCACTCTTCTTGAATAAAAACTATAATTGGTTAAGGGTGTGTAGGGGTAATTCATTCATTCACTTATGCATCTACTCAAAACAAAGTGGCCAGATGCTGCTGAGGATAAAAAAGTGTGTAGGCCAAGCAAAAGGGAACAATGGTTCCAAGGGAATGTCTTTAAAATGCAGATTCCAGTTTAGTTTGGGGAACCATCTAAAACACTGTTGTTCAGAGTAGGGTTGATAGACTGAATTAAAATCACCTGGCAGCTTGGTAAACATGGAGATTCCTGATCTCCTATTCAGTTCCAGTGAACCAGAATCTCTGAAGATGCATTAGTACTTTATAAATTCTAGAATGAATATGTTGTAGCAAGGTTTTAATTTGAGAACATCAATGCTGAGATGCTTAGTCATTCCTCCGGCTCCACCTCTATCCTTCAGGACAGCTGTCACCTTTAACCATAATACCTCATTTCCTAAGCCTTCATGAAAATCTTATTTTGGGCCATAAATTACTTAAGTAATTTAGATTTTTTCTATCATCCTGAACAGAGAATTTTAAGCTAGGAGAAAGGATTGAGTTAGTAGTTTTTCCCTATGCAATTAAATGTTCATATATTCCCAAACTGATTAAAAATTATTTCTAATTTTAAAAACTCACAAGCTATAACTTATAATATTACTGGAATAAAAGAAGTCAAACTGAGCATAATTCATTTATTTAGTGAGCACTAACTATGTTTTAGACACCATGTCAGGTTCTAGAGACGCAACAGAGAGAAAAACACAGCTTCTGGCTTTAAGGAACAGAGCCAAATGGAGGGAGGCCCCAGACATATAACTAGGGTGATAAGGGCTTTGAAAAGGGAAGCATGGGTTCTAAGGAGGCACACAGAGAGGGAAGGCACACAGAGAGGGAAGGCACACAGACAAAACCATGTTAAAAAAACAAGTAGAAATTTGCCATTCCAACATGTGCCCCCTTCACGACTATGACAACTATAAATACAAAGTGAAACTTATTCCTGGAAATGAGAAGAAGAGAAAAGCTGCAAAACCAGCCTTGAATAGGCAGAGAGGGAATGGCAGTGCCTGCAACAGAAGGAACAGTGTAGGTAAAAGCCAAGAGGTTAGGGAAGACATGCTGAGTTTGGGAAAACAAAGAAATTGAGCAAGGCCGAAAATTCAGGGGAAGGGTTAAGAGACAAAGCTGGAGATGTAAAAGCAAGTCCAGCTCGAGAGGGTGCAGGTACAGGATGAAACGATGAGCTCAGTTTGGGACACGCTCAAACTGAGGTGCTGTGGGACAGCCACTGCGGATATCTGGGACAATGAGAGGCGTTCACAGAGCAGCAGGACATCGGAGAGGAGCGCTCAAGAGGCAGCTCTGGATGGAACACACATCTGGCGGGGGGCGGGCATCACATTTAAAATTTAAGTGCAGTTATATATGCATGCCTCACATTCTTTTATGAGCAAAAAGAACCATTGCCTTTTTGACAGTGCTATTTTTCTAAGTGCTCTTACACTAAATACATATTTGTAGTAAACCTTAAGAGACACGCCCTAGAGCAAGCCACCCCATGGTTTCATTACCTGTAAAATGGCATGATAAGCACGAGTCATATATGCGAGCCAGGCCTGTGGGAGAAAAATTGCACGGTGCCACTCGGAAAGTTGGATGTGAACCTGTGGGAAAAATGTACCATGACATAAGTTAGGCTGCACAGTATTAAAACAGAATAAAATGAAAACTGTATCATCAGTTCTCTCTT